TGTCCGGCCCTTACCACGGCCCAATCCAAATCATAAATCTCTCTCTCAGTCACACTATACCATGACTTTTATTGTTCGAAATCCATTTTGAATTTGTGGATCACATCAAACGTTGACTTTGATGGAATGGTTAACAAATAATATTTCGTTATTGTAATAGATTGGGCAAAAAATATGGTCATTAGTTGATCCATAAAACCATCACCATTTGATTTTGTGGTTACCTTCGAAATATGTCCCAAGACCTTCGAAACATGTTATTCATTGAAATATCATTTTATAGCCATTAATGGCTAGTTAAAATGCCAAACTAATTTCATAGTAATCCAACTCTTTGGATTTGGTTCGAAGAGATGTCGTGAGCACTTTCGAATGACAACTTTGATCCTTTAGTAATATATGTGACTTTCAAATGGTGGTTTTGTCATCAATAAATACCTTTGAAATGTAATATGGGACGAAAAAACTTTCCAAATGTGTACATTTCTTCAAATATATGTACAATGACAATTAATTAATTATCGAATAATGCCTATTTTTGGCATGATAATTAATAACCATTTTTATAGCCATTTGTTACATGAAAAATGTAACTAGCATTCTACAAAATTTGGTTCGAAGAACAACGATTTTGGTGTCTTCGGATAATTAATAATTGGTTCGAAGCACAAAATTAATATTTTCATTAATTATGTGTGAATCAGAACATACAAAATTTAAATAACCACAATGTTGACCAAAAATTGCTTCGAATGCCTTTTTGCCATAATTTTGTAAGTTTCGAAGCACTTCATCTTGCATTAACAGCTTCGAAGAAATAATAATGGTGGTTGTGAACCTTCAAAACTTTGCTGAGTATTTCCAAGAATGTAATTCATCATTTGTCGGCACTTTTGACATTTGAAGAATGATTTTGATCCTCTATACTACTTTCGAAGCTTGTTACTAGTCCATAATAGCTAGCATGTGTAACAGCTTGTTAAAGTGAATCATGTTCAAATATTGACTTTACCTTGAAAATATGAGATTCTGAATGATTCTAAGTGTAAGCAACATCAACCTACTTCAAAAGGTTCCAAGTTTTCTAAGTGTTTGAAGTACGAGTAAAATAAAATTTTTTAATTTCCTTCAACAGAGTGATACCGATTCGAAGTACATATATAATATTCCTTCAAGGTATATATATATATAATTTGAGACATCTAGTCATAATTTTATACTCATTCGAAGCACTTTGTTAGTGCTATTATATCATTCGAAGCACTTTATTGATATTATTCGAAGCACTTTATTGCTTAGATTAGTCATATGCTTGGTTTGGCTATTCAAAAATTCAAGTAAACATCATTTTTAAGGGCCGCAAGGGGTAATGTTGGCACCATAAATCTGTAATTTTTTTTTTATTTATTATTTATATAAATTGCAGGACATGTGATATCCTCCTACTCATTTGAAGGTTATGAGAAGTTATGAAATGTGAAAAGATGATGGAGAATAAAGTGAAGAACATGAAGCATGAAGTGGAGATTAAAGGAAATTACGAAAGATCGTGTAGTATGAAATGGAGGAGGTGGAAGAGTTGGTAGTTTTAGGTAGTTTTTTTTGTCTATAAATATTTGCCTATAAATAGCCATTCATGACTACATTATAAAAGGATCCAGAACTTAAATCAAAGATAATTGATTTCTATTTTTCTTGTCATTTAAATTTCTCACATTTTATTTTACGCACTTTCTTTTCAAAGCATTTATTTTCGGCACTTCATTTTCGAAGCATTTTATGCACTTCATTTTCAAAGCATAGGAGTAGAGATAAGTAATTGTTACTTTGATTGTTCACTCAATTATCTTTCTCGGTTTCCCTCATTCTTTTAATTTTTTTTTTAACACTTGGTAATTTTGAAGTCCTCTTTACTAAGACAAAAGAACCGTTAACGTAATCGCTTAACAATTAATTTAAATTTAATCTATAAAAAAATTTCAATCGTTACTAACACGCTCGCATTTATGATATTTTTTTCGTAAGAAAAATAAATTAACAAATATATAATTGTGATTGACGTTGTGCTCCACAAAAGATTTAGCAATAAGACGGTCAGTTGTCCTCTTATCAAAAGTACATGATCCACACCAGACAAAACCCCAAAGAAACCTATGATTTTGTCCCAACTCATATGTTCACCACCGGCCTTGGCCCAACCCTTTCGATTATTTTAATGTGGTAACAATATTTGATCTTGTATGTTTAATTTTTTATATATATATGTTTGTTAAATATGTTTGTTAAATATTGACTATAAAAGTTTATTTTAAAGAAAAAAAAAGGCAAACAAGTGAGCATCAAATAGCACTAATCTAATAGGATTTGACTTATTGATATAGGAATATTTTATGTATATCTGTAGATCCTCCGAATCCAATTTTCTACAACTATTTAAAAGGTTTTTTTAATCAATAATAATTCATCATTCTTTTTCCTCCCACCTCTTTTGACCCCTTCTCTCTCTCATTGATTACATTTTCTTTTTCTTTTTCTTTTTTTTCCTACTCTTCCAATCGCCACCCGCCACGTGACAAAGGGGGGTAAGGGGGTGACCCCCAAAAGGGGTCCCAAGCATTATTCTTTTTTAATGGGATATGTAATTGTCCAGTTTAACACCTGTCACGCAAGTCTCTTTTGGTGGGTTTGTTTTTAAAGGATTAGGACGTGAGGTGGGCTTATTAGTCTCATCAAATTAATAGTTTATTATTTATTTAAAATTTTTTATTCTGAATTAATAATTTTTCAGACTATTAGTCTCACAAATATGAGACTATCTTATCTTATGGGGTGGGATAAAAATCATGGGATAACTCATCCCATAGGATTAGATAATGAAATTACATTTTTACCCTCTAGTATTTAATTAATCAAATAGCACTAATCTAATAGGATTTGACTAATTGATATAGGAATATTTTATGTATATCTGTAGATCCTCCTAATCCAATTTTCTACAACTATTTAAAAGGTTTTTTTAATCAACAATGATTCATCCCCTTTTTCCTTCCATCCCCTTTGACCCCCCCTCTCTCTCATTGGTTACATTTTTTTTTTTTTTTTTCCTACTCCTCCAATCGCCACCCGCCACGTGACAAAAGGGGGTAAGGAGTGACCCCAAAAAGAGTCCCAAGCATTACTCATTCTTAATGGGATATGTAATTGTCCAGTTTAACACCTGTCACGCAAGTCTCTTTTGGTGGGTTTGTTTTTAAAGGATTAGGACGTGAGGTCAGCTTATTAGTCTCATCAAATTAATAGTTTATTATTTATTTAAATTTTTTTATTTTGAATTAATAATTTTTTAAACTATTAGTCTCACAAATATGAGACTATCTTATCTTATGGGGTGGGATAAAAATCATGGGATAACTCATCCCATAGGATTAGATAATGAAATTATATTTTTACCCTCTAGTATTTAATTATGTATTATATTTAGTAAAATTTAAAAAAATTTAAATGTCTCAATCTGAAAATAAAATAATTTTATTTAATTTTTATTTTTGTTTTATTTATTTAATTTTTTAAAATATTTTTTTATAGATATTTTATTTATGTTTTATTTTAAAATTTTGTTTATATTTATTTAATTTCATTATTTAAATTTTAATAGATGTTTTATTTTATTTCATTATTTAATTATTATTATTATTTAAAATAAATTTATTTAAAATTTTAATTAAAAAAATAACATATATTTATATTTATATTTAATTTATTTAATTTAAAAAAAATAAATTTATTTAATTGTGCAAAAAATAAAATAAAATACATTTTTATTTAATCTAGTTAAAAATAATTAAAATATTAAAACTATGTTTAATATTGCTATTACTTAGTAAATAATTGAAAATGATAAAATAGTCATTTGGGCATTTATCCTTCTCCATAATATCACAAACAAACATTGGATAATTAAAAATAATCAAATTTAGACATCTAATCCCATGACTAAATAAACATAGGATACAAATTCAGTCTAACCAAATAGTCCCGAGATAATGTATCTCAGGACTAATAGTCCGATAGATTACAATCCTCTCCTATCCAATCCAGCCAAACAAAAAATTCCTAAAAAAAGAGTTCTGATGCATTTTCACATCCTTTAGAGACTAAAAAAAATGAACAAATTCATTTTCTTAGAACACATCTAAGATGCGTTACTAAAAAAAAAAATATCGATAATCTCACCATCAATTGCTTCATTTATGAATTACATAAAAATAGAAAAACATGCCCTATAAAGAATAATATTTTATTAATAAAGTAATCATATTTATTTTGAAAAATATGCTCTTCAAACGTTTGAATTTACTTAAATCACATCTAATCCAGATAAATAACAACAGGATGGCTAGCAATAACACAAATTCCACATCTGATCAATATAACCAACTCGTCGGCCACTTTTGCTTTTTGGATGCAGCTCGCCTCCCGGCTAAGATTTTAACGGTGTTATTCGGTCTGTGGAGGTTTATTATAGGTTCTGTTTTAATAACTTGAATCGTTTAATGTGTGGCATTCATTGAGTACTATATGTCTGTAAAAAATTACGTTGATCAGATATTATTAGCTATCGCATTGAATTAGCTTTGTATAAAAAAAATAGACGATGAACAAATTAATAGTTGATAAAAAACTGATCTAATAAGATAGTTATCGATATTCGATCAACATAATTTTTTATAAATATATAATACTTAACGAAATTTACATATTAAATAATTCAAATTATCCAAATAAAATCTATATAATTTTTATAAACCAAACAATATCTCAGACCAAAGGCAAGGTGGTCCGTTGTTTTTCTTAATAAACCTTATCAAGGTATCGCTTCTCTTGGCAATTTGCCTTAAAAAATTGGATGGAATACGACACCTGGGAGGGATGCAGAACCACCACAGAAAACATAAATACCTAATCAAATATATTTTTATTCCCAAGTGAATGCTGAGGTAACTAACGAACAGTGGGGCGACAAGAGAGTGCCACATGGCCTTAGAATCCCCATCATTGGTTTGGTGCACAAACCTTCTTCTCCATGGATTGGTTCCTAATCCTCCTCCTCCATCACCACTCACTCACTCTCTCTCTTTCTCTCCTCTTTTTCTTCTCCATTGTGAAAAGAAAACCCAATACAAAAGATCAAAGAAATCTCATTATTCTTTCCTAATTTTTGCCAACTCTCTTAATACTTGCACACAACAATGACTTCAACTGTGTTCTACACTTCACTAAACCCATCAACAACGCTTTTCTCAAGAACCCACTTCCCAATTCCTATCTCTAGAGATTTCTCGCTTGAATTATTACACCCTGTGAACTCTAATTACGGTTTCAGAACCAAAGAGAATGGGCGGATGAAGAGGATGACAAAGCCCAAAGTCAGTGTGTCGGAAGCCCCGCCGGAACGAAGCAGCGCCGCCGAAGTTGATGGGAACTCGAAGAAGCTAAGGGTTCTGGTGGCCGGGGGTGGGATTGGTGGGTTGGTTTTCGCGTTGGCGGCGAAGAGGAAGGGTCTTGATGTGATGGTGTTTGAGAAGGATTTGAGTGCAATTAGAGGGGAGGGACAGTACAGGGGTCCAATTCAGATACAGAGTAACGCCTTGGCTGCTTTGGAAGCCATTGATTTGGAGGTTGCTGACGAGGTTATGAAGACTGGCTGCATAACTGGTGATCGGATTAATGGATTGGTTGATGGTATTTCTGGTAATTGGTATGTTGTTTAACCCCCTTTTTTATTTTTTGTTTTTATTTTTTATAATTGGGTGTCCTGGTCAGCTTGCATGCACCATGACTTTGATTTGCATAGCTTATAGTTTTCATTGAATATTTGTGATCCCTTCTACGTGATCATGTCAATAGAATTTTGAGAAGTATTGGCAGTGTTGAACTTTTGGAACTATGACAAGAAATTTATAATTTCAAACTAATTTTCATTGATATTGAAATGGATGCTGCAACTGTGATGACAAATTTATATTTTCAAGCTGTTTCTGCATGTGGGAAGGTCTCTGTATGCGTAGGCGATGGAAATGGGATGAATTGTAGTAGTTCTGTACTTTTATTTTCAAGCTTTGCCTCCATCTAAAGGATCATGGAAAAGGATAATTAGAAGTGTGGGCCGTGGCTATAGAATTCACGAAAATCAATGACAATAATGGGCATTCTACTCATTTGAATGTTCCCATGAAGTATAGGTTGTGTAGATATACAATTTATGACAAAATTATTAATTTCTGAGTGCTTTAGTGGTTCCTCCTAGCTCAAATGAGCTAATAGGAAGCCCCTAGTGGAGCCTATGCGAGTAAACCGTAAGTTGTTTTGTAGACAGAAAAATTACGAATCTAGAAAAATTTTACCCTGGAATTTATCCAGAAAGTGAGTCTATGGTGTAGATTCAAACTTGATGTGTTGTGGGCCACACCTAGAATGAATCTTGTCCACACATTTTAAATTATGGGTGATTTTCAAGGTTTTTTTGATTTTGTTTTTGTTTTTTTTTGGGCATGTAATATTGTTTTTTTGTAGAAGTGTCATGACTCAAGTTCCTGATGTATAAGAGATATTTTGTTTTAAAATCTTTCCCATTGAAACTTTGTTGGAATATATTCAATTACCAAAAAAATGGGTCCTTGACATCCTCAGAATACAGGTGGACTGAGTCAGACTGATATAATACATAGATAAGCTGAATGTCATAAATTTTTCCAGAATTTAAATACATAGCTCCTACAGATACAGAGTTTCCTCACTGGTTGTTTAAATAGTTTGCTGATTAGTTAATGAAAATATGATGATTTCAAATCATGTGCTTTAGAAGAGGAGGATAATTAGTTTTATCAGTTTAATTAATCAAGGGAGATAAGCAAATCCGTTATTGGCATGTAGCTTCCATCCAAATTAAAGAAAGTTTTCCCTTAATAATGGAATCCCTTCAGACTGGAATTGTTGATTTTAGTTGCTTTTCCAGGTGAAATGGTTGTGTTTAAGCAACTTATCAATATATTAATGCATAGTTGGCTGTCAGGTACTGCAAGTTTGATACATTCACTCCTGCGGCGGAACGGGGGCTTCCGGTCACAAGAGTTATTAGTCGCATGACTTTGCAACAAATTCTAGCTTGTGCTGTGGGGGAAGATGTTATTATGAATGACAGTAACGTTGTTAATTTTGAGGATGATGGTGATAAGGTAACATGAACTATAGTGCTTGTAGATTTTTATTTTTTTGCCAACGAAGGTTGAGATTGTCCTCTTATTCTTGACATTGGGATTGTCACAGAGATTTTTTTAGCTCTTCTTTATCTTCTTTTCATAACATCCATTTGACAAACTGATTCATTAATGAATGTTTTGGCCTCATCTTGAGGTTGACAGTTGTCTTTGTGTTATGCAAAATTAGGTTACTGTGATTCTTGAGAATGGACAACGTTATGAAGGTGATCTTCTAGTTGGTGCTGATGGAATATGGTCAAAGGTATAGGAATTTTAATTTATTTAGAAATTTGAGTTTATTTAGTATTATTTTTTTACTTCCTTTTTTGGAACAAGCCTTTGGTAATATATGCGCTTGGTGTAATGGATCATCAAAGTTTGGTATATTATTGAATATATAGATATTAGCCTACCTCACACTCTTCGATGACTTCTCTCTCAGTTCTTCTTTTCTTCTTTTCCTCTGCTCTTTCGTTTCCCTTACTGGTTCTATGCCAACAGTCTTTTCCTATGGAAAAGTTTTTCATCTCTAACTAAACAAATATAAAATTACACATTACGTTGATATTGGGGTGGTGATGTATGTTAACAATTTTTTGGAGATGATTTATGCCAAAAAGGTCTAACCTTATTGGCCGTAGGTACCTAGTGTACTAAAATTTCCCTCTTTTTTGGGTTTACGTTCATTTTATACTCCTGGAAGTTTCAAGAAACTGCCTTGTTTAATTTCCACACGGAGCAATTTTTTGGAGAAATTCATCCAAAAGTGGAAGATTGCAAATGTCGTGTTTTTCCTTTGGTGGACAGTCTTCTGGTCTAGAAAATGTTATATAGATTTTCTCTGTAGTGTGAAATTTATAGCTACTCATTTCTCTTGAACAGGTGAGGAAAAATTTGTTTGGATTCAAAGAAGCCACATATTCAGGCTACACTTGTTACACTGGTATTGCAGATTTTGTGCCTGCTGATATTGAGACTGTTGGGTATGTTAATATTTCATTATTTTGTTGCTTTATAGGTTTATTTATTTTTTAATCTTCATAGACTTCTTTATTCTGTACCTTACGTCTTGAGGGGAGAGGCTCATTTAAAATATCTCTTTTTGAAGGTATCGAGTATTTTTGGGACACAAACAATACTTCGTGTCTTCAGATGTTGGTGCAGGAAAGATGCAGTGGTATGCATTTCACAATGAACCACCTGGCGGTGTAGATGGTTCCACTGGTAGATATTCCACTGTTGATATTTTTGTTATCTACTGTATTTTTTTTTTTTTTTAGATTCTAAACATGCAATTTTAACAGAGGATTGGCCATTTAGAACAATTGGCATTTGGAAAGTTTTTGTGTAGGCACTCTCAAATAGTCAGGGCAAAGATATTGATGATGATGAGGATGTTCTGTCTTTAAATATTCTATGTTTGTGTCAGGTAAAAAGCAAAGGTTGCTGAAGATATTTGAGGGTTGGTGTGATAATGTGATAGATCTGTTGCTTGCCACTGATGAAGATGCAATTCTTCGACGGGACATATATGACCGCGCACCAACTTTTAACTGGGGAAAGGGTCGTGTAACCTTGCTTGGGGACTCTGTCCATGCAATGCAGCCCAATTTGGGTCAAGGTGGATGCATGGCCATTGAGGTACAAATTGCTTTGCTGTATATTGTTTGCCTAAATTATAGTTGTTGTTTGATCTACGTTATGTTTGCTAGATCTTTGCTTCACTGAGGATTCTGTGATGTCACAAGTACTTATTTTCTGTTTACTGAGTCAGAAATATATATACCCCCAAGACTTGTATTATTCTTATATTACTCTGGTGTTGAATGTCCAGACTTATCTCATTATTATGTAGTTTCTCGCATTAATTATTCTATTGTTTTGAACAAAATTCATCGTTCTAAGAAGCAAATAAACATTACAATTTCTATAACATTACAATCTTTGCTGAAATATTTCATTCATAATTTCAGGATAGCTATCAGCTGGCAATGGAGCTTGATAAGGCTTGGGAGCGAAGCGTCGAGTCAGGAAGTCCTATAGATGTTGTCTCTTCTCTGAGGAGGTAATGCAATTTTTCCTTGTCAAAAAATCCAAGTAAAATTTGATTTGTATGAGCATTCACCCCAGACTATAATAACCTTACAAATGAAATAAAATTTTAAAAAGTATACTCCTCTTAAAATGCCAGAGCACATTCATGCATGTAAGGGGAGGGATTGCACCATTTTATGAGTCTTTCGACGAGAGGTTGTGTGACCATGTGAGTGACATGTCTCGTGTAAAATATCTAGTTTTAATGCAGTACAAGGAGTGTTCCAAATTTTCCATTTTGTAAGGTTGTAAATGGTAATAACTTTAACCAATGTCAAATGTCTGTGTCACTACTTTGGCTGACATGGAGCTTCATAGATCAAAATGCTACCTTGGTGACTATCTCTTCTCCTTTTATTTATTTAATTTTTAAATTTCCCCAGCTATGAGGATGCAAGAAGACTACGGGTTGCTGTTATCCATGGATTGGCACGAATGGCTGCAATCATGGCCTCAACTTACAAGGCATATTTGGGTGTAGGCCTTGGCCCATTATCGGTAGGAGTGTGATAAACACATGCTGTTGCCTAATTAAAATAAACTCAAGTTTTCCGTGGAGTTCTGCATGCATTTCATAACAGCTTATATTCTGTTTTACAGTTTTTGACAAAGTTTAGGATACCACATCCAGGAAGAGTTGGAGGGAGATTTTTTATCGACCTTGCAATGCCTTTAATGTTGAGTTGGGTCCTCGGCGGTAATGGGTCAGTTCAGATAACCCTTTTTCATATCAGTTCTTAGTATAGGCTTTCATGTTTTTATCCTGATTTTCCTTCTATTCTTGCATTACGACTAATATATAGTAATAGGGCTTATTCTGAGCTTGCTGGACTTATTGGCCAAATGCCAAGCATTACACATCAAAACCTCTGAGCCCTGGGATCTTCAAAATAAACATTTTGGTGTTTTTTTTTGATAAAATACTATATAAATTTTGAAAATCTAGTTTTTGTAAAAAAATCTATCCATTTAGTTTGAAGTTTGGACTAAGGGGGTGTTTGTCAAAGTTTATTTTTTTGGCTTTTTGGGCTAAAATCTACAAAATAGGCTAAAATAGCCAATAAGATAAAATGTCACATTAAACCCATAATCATTTCACTTTTTCTCTCACAAATATCACATTCAACTACAAAAATATCTAACTATCTTCTCAAACATAAAAATTTTAACCTACTAAAATAGTCAAATATTAAAATAGCCTACTAAAATAACAACTCTCCAAACACCCACTAAGGGAAAAAGTGGAATTATTTTGAGTAATCTACGCCTGAAAGTCATGTAGTTTTGTTTAAAGTTTAAATGAGGCTTTATTACTTTTGCAGCTCAAACCTTGATGGGAGATCATTAAGTTGCAGACTCTCAGACAAAGTATGTTGTTCAAGCACTGAGATTCTGTATATGTCACTTAAAATATAGTTCAAATATAGCTCTTTGTGCTTTTTGATGATTGGAATTTTGTTCTAAAGCTAATATGTGGCAATGATTAATGAAGGCAAATGATCAATTAAGAAATTGGTTTGAAGATGATGATGCTCTTGAGCGTGCTGTTAATGGAGAGTATGTATAACAAGCCCAAAATCTGCCTTTTTTTTTTTTTTTTATATACATATTTTTAATATCATATTCTGTAGTCATGTGCACATTCCATCACTGTGTTCATGTCGATTCGTTTCATTTTTTTTTTTTTTTTTTTTTTTTTTTTTTTTTTTTGTAGGTGGTGCCTACTCCCATATGGAAATGCAGATGGTGCTTTGAAACCTATTTTCTTAAGTAGGGATGAAAAACAACCTTGCATAATTGGGTATGCCTTCATTTCTGTATATAAAAATTACTTTTATACACAAGGTACAAAAAAGGTACACACATCATGTCACTACAGGAATTTAACGGCCTCGTTTTAACTATATACATTTGAAGGCATTCTTTAAACGCCATCATTCTCATGTGCTGTCATCTACCATTAACATGTCATCTACCAGCAATGAGTCAAAACAACGTCGTTAAATTTATACACTTATACAGCATTCTAAAAACAACATGAACAGTGGACTTACGGTGGCATTTTTTCTTCAAATGCTGCTAATAATCCAAACTGTTGACATGCCTTTATGCGTTGCACTCAATTTGTTCTTGTTATAGTATCACCATATATTACAGCAAAAATATGATGTATTATTGTGATTACAGGAGTGTATCACATGCAGATATTCCTGGAATGTCAGTAACCTTGCCTTTGCCTCAGGTTATATGAGAAGTTGTCTAAGTTTTCCTTTCCATTTTTATTGGCGGTATTATTCTTACTTTCTCCTTTCAATCCCAAATAACAAGGCCTTTCATATGTCAGGTTTCCAAAATGCATGCTCGAATAAGCTGCAAGAATGGTGCCTTTTTCGTGACAGATTTGCGGAGCGAACATGGTACCTGGCTCAGAGAGTAAGTCATAGAAAAACTGCATGTATATTTCTCTGTAATCTTATTCAGAGATCATTATTAAGGATCTCACTTTATTTACTTTTGCAGTAATGAAGACAAGCAGTATCGGGTGCCTTCCAACTTTCCTACACGTTTCCGTCCATCAGACATTATCGAGTTTGGTTCTGATAGGAAGGTGATACTCTCTTTCATGTGTGGTTGTGTAAATGTTATGGATCAGTTGCAATTTCTCTGAGTAATACTGAGGTTCATGTTGCCTTTAAGGAATCTTAGGAACCGTAATTTGCTAACTTGACCTCAGAGACCACTTGCAAAAACTTTACTTTCTATCATTTCCTTCTTTTCTTGAACCACTTTTTTTTTTTAAATCTTTTTCTTTACTATTACTAAGTTACTAATTAGATCTTATCAATGCGTTGTTCCCCAACAACGAACTTATACCTGTTGAATTCGGTCTATTTTTTCTGTAGTCTATACATGTTGAATATTTATTTTTAGGTAAACCTCAATGGTATGAGGAAAAAGTTATTGATAATTCAAAACTGAGAGGGGGACGTATCTCACGCAATATAAGAAAAAAATGCATGCAAAAAGAATCAACTAACTGACTCGAATTTACTAAGTTCCCAACCTATCTAAAGCCACAAGATCCTTATCCAATCTAGGAAGTTCTGAAAAAGTAGATAAATAAGACCATGATCACAACCCCAACTAGTTAACACATCTGCGACACTATTTACTTCAGAGTAGCAATGAGCAATTGAAGAGACCCTAGTAGCGAATAAACTCTTAGCCTTAAAAGAGGTATGGACGCAATTGCCAAGAGGGAAAGATATGCCAGTCAGAAAATCCACCAGCACTAGTGAGTATGATTCCACATAAACATAAGTAAAACCAACAGTACATCAAAACTTAAGACCATCCAATGTATCAAGACTCGTAAGAATGAACAAAAACAAAAACCACCTGACCATTAGAATCCCTAACTACTCCACCCCCTTCAGGCACACTAGAATTACCTCTACCGCATCTATAACTATTGAACTTCACAAAAGAAGCATCTGACTTGCTCCATTTTAACAATTGAACTGAGAACAATTTCATCCTAATAGGAGTAAGCTGCAAACTGTCAAAATTTACCCGAGTGAGATAGTCTGTGAATTTTGGACTGTTACTTAGCTCATTAGAAGTGTATAATGGCTTGTTTGTTAATCCATTCTAAAAGCATGGATTTGTTCTGCCTTCAATTTCTAAGTGCAAAACAGAGAGATTTTCCATTTTTAGACGGCCTCTAAGTATGCCATTAGTATTTTGAAAATGATTATGTTTCTTTCAATTTATTTTGCCCATCCACAAAATACTCAGTATCGGTTTTGCATTACTAGTAAACATACTTGGTAGTACAATTAGCTTGTGTATCATGAGTAGGAGTCCCTACAAAATTCTATGTTCAATAATGGCATACTGATTTTCTGGCATTGTGCAGGTAGCGTTCCGGGTAAAGGTGGTGAAGGATCCACAAAAGATTGCAGAGAACAAGGAAGTGGGTGGAATTCTACAGGCTGTATCATAAGTTTCAACTAGCCCTTTTTTTAGTTGAGATACAAGAAATTGTACAGCATTCATTCGGGGCAGCGGAGCCAGGTAAAGCCTGCCGGAATTTGTGTAATGTAGATCCTTATAGTGCCATACATGAGAAAGAGACTCGTGATTTTCTTCAAGTTGGAGCTGAAATGAAATTGTCAGTTTTCTTTCTTGAAATGCTGAAATTTGTAAATACAAGTATAGAAAGAGAGATCCATATATAATTTTTTTCTTCTTGCAATTCAATGGTTTGTCTTGTTGACTATTTTAGTCTATTGTGTCTTTTAGTGGACTATTTTACCCCAACCCTCTTCTCAAACATTCCCTGTGTTGAAAACTGTTTGATTTTTATATGGGTGTGTGCGCCTGGAGTTATAGAACGAAACTATGTTATTTGGGCTTGGTTTGATTAGTTTCTTTGAAATTGACTTGAAAAAGTGAACAAACTAAGTTTGAATATATTGTGAAATTCCTTAAATTTTTAAGCTAGACCTGAACGAACTTACTACAAATCACTCCCTCGTTTACAACACTAGGTGTGCCTGCGTGTGGAATCCTGTGTAAAGCATGATTGTTGCTATTTCCAACACAATGGGGGTGATGGGCTCGTTGGGCCCAGATTGTAGAAGCAGCCCATTCCGTATATTGTGTGCCTATATTCTGGGCCTGGTCTTGGCCCATAAGAAAGCCTGTTTACAATGAACAAGCAGCACTTAATTCCCTGATACTCACAGTCCAACATAAATCTTTGGGCAGTTCAATGGATGCCACTGGCCCAAATTTAACTTGGTGGATGGCTTGCGTTGTGAACTATGTTAACTTGCAATTGTCCTATTTTCTCTCCGAATTTTCTCGTCTTCTCTTTTCTTTTCTCAGAGAAAATATTCCTCAGCCTGATATCTTTCTTAGCTTTCACAGGAGCAACTGCCGTTGCTAGCTGTTTTTCTAGCGGTGCCATTGTAAATGCAACTGTAAATTAAAGGTAAATGTAGCGGATGAAAAATTATGGTCATACCTTATTCTGCAGAGTCTGAATTGAAGGATCTCGTGGGTAAATCACGTGCTTCCTGAATCTGATCAATCAACCCAGCAATGGGGTGATATTACAGAATGAATATCACCCACACAAGTCATAGTGCAAAATGGCTCTTGATCGTTATATTTTGGGAGAGAGTCAGTATGTAGGAAAAACATACGACATACGTTGTTTTTCTCTTAATCACCCATATCCCATATCATATCAGATATATAGGATAATATCTCATCTATCCATATCAGTTGATATGATAGACATGGATATCCTTAGTGGTTATCCAAATAAATTTTAAATTCATATTCAAACTTACATGAATAAGGTTCAAAAGGTTCAGGTTCAAAAAGTTCAAAGGGTCATGCCACATGGGTGCCCAATTTCTAATATCTCCCACTCGCACATGAGTTGGCATGACACTGCCACATCTCTATCTCAATCTCCCAAAAAATGAACAATCTTATACTAGCCAATGCACCGTGCGACTGCTGAGAACACCTGCATGTGGGAGCTTTATACTAGAAACTCAAAATGAGCCAGCATAGAGACATCAATCCAAAAAGAACAGAAGTAGTGTCTCATATACCCTAGACCCATCTAATTACACCGGCCCAAAAAACATCTCTAATCCCTAAAAAAGAGCATGTTTGACCCTCTCAATTCATGCAATATATTCACACTCAATCCGTCTCTCATATAGAGCGATGTGAGTTGCTGGCAGTGAATATACAACAGTGGTGTAATACTAGATGATCTTCCTTTTGCCCTCATGCCATTTAGTTTAGGATTGACCGCTTTCCCAATGATGTCCCTTAAGGCTGAATCATACATGACCGCAGGCAACATACCAAAGTAGCAGAACATCAACCCTTTACCTTATGACATAGTCAAAAGTCACAAAATGGTACATAAATGAAAGTCATATCAATAATGACACGTAAGACTCACACGGTGAGGAAACAGGGATCCATTCTCTCTCCTCATTACTCGGTCGCCAAGCACATATAGTATGAATACATGCTACGGTGGAGTAACTATTCCATAAAGAGTGACGTCATACTCGATACACCGTATAGATATTAGTCTAGTCGCTTTTTAGCGCCTAACTCGAATTCTCTATTTGCTCGCCTTCCAGGTGCCAAATGAGATCTCGCATTTGGCTAATCATAACAGGCACAACATGGAAAGTGGGTACTAACATCGACATGCATAGTGGATTATTTAAGCCTCTCTTGGCTCCAAATAAAAATAAACCACTAGTCTCATCCTTGCTCACTCCCAAGTGCCAAGGGCGATTGCTCGTGTGAGTGAGCCAATCTTGCCTGCTGACATCATCATCTGCTAATCATTATGACACAAACTATAATAGTGTCAACCTCCCATCATCTCAAATAAGTGATCGATTTAAAAAAAAAAAAAAATTTGACCATAGCTTGCGCAATTCTAGATTCCAATCATAAGCCTTATCAACACCTCTTGCGATAAGTATATACAACGGAATCCACCATGTGCGCTTCACATGAAGTGATTCAAGATCACAATTCTAGATTCCAAACATAAGCCTTATCAGCACCTCTTGCGATAAGTATATACAACGGAATCCACCATGTGCGCCTCACATGAAGTGATTTAAGATCACTACCTCTTGCGCAATAACCTCTCTAAAGATATTTTGGTGACTAATTTGCGTTCATTCTTAATGCGCCCAACTAGCGCATATGCGCCTAACTAGCGCATTGAATCTTACAAGGAGCAAATTAATATACTATTAGTAAAGCATTTTATCCACAGTTTAATGAGCAAGGTCAATGTCTAAACAACTCAGTTGACCATTTACCAAAGATAACACTTATCATGTCGAATACGCTCACATAGCGTACTTTAGGCTCCCACAGCAAAGAAAAGATCAAGAAATATAGGTCATCTGTTTCTCCTAAAGACAATCCGAGGATTCACTCAATAGCTAAGGCTCTGACTTTTACTGATAGGTAAGTCAATGGGTTTGCAATTTTGCATCTAGAATCGTTCTAGGATATTCCTTATGTAAGTCATCGAAGACAAAACATGAATTCTCCCAAAACAATCCCTAAGGATCGTACATCCGAGCATATAAATTACATCACCCATGTCCATCATATCTAAAATAGAGGACTGCCCACCCTAGGTGGCGACAACCTTATAAATTCTTGGCTCATAATGACTAAGTAAGGAAAAACTTCTTTTGGACCATTGATCATGCCTCAGTGGTCTTCATCGATTATCGTTGGCCTATCATGGCTTGACGAAATCGAAGAACCACTATTTGGATAACTGTTTTAGGCTGTACAAGATTTATTGGAACTAGCAACCTTTTTGCGCTCCTAACTTTTTACTATAAAAGCAGAAGGTAAATCCCTATGGATCTAGTTATCCAATTTTCTAACGAGAAAGTTGGGTCACAATGTTTACAAATCAATGTTCCAAACTTATGTCAATCATAGCCCAAGTCAAAATAACCTCACTCCCCAGGAGGAAGTCTTCTCATGGTCTACACTTTCCTCAATGGTGTGACTTTTCGGTATCTAGCGAGCCTTATGTCTCAACAATGACTGTCCAAATTACGCATAACTTTAGAACAGTTTCGCGTCATAATGGAAAGTCAACCAAATTATAGAAATGGTTAATCCTCAAAGACTTTGTCTTAAACTGCGCAACATTAATCCACTTTCTAAAAACAGGGGACTAGAGCCTTTGGCATTATCCTAGGCTCTTTATCATCTTGCGAAGCAATCATGAATGTTTCCCTCTCAATCACCCAGTGATGACGTGAAAAATTTTCACATTCGCTACCACGCAACTAAGAATGTAGAGTATTCTTCTCTAATGGAATAATCCATTAGTAGGCACATCTCTCCCACTGTCCCTAGGATATTGGAAATTTCTTTCCATTCTCAACTAGGCTATATAAAGCGCTATACTTAGAATTCTCTATCTTATAGAGTTCCAAAAACTCTATTCACGTCACCTTTACTAAGAAAACTTTATGTGACTTAATTACACTCCCACAAAGTTGCTTACTTATATGCACATGACCCGGAGGGTTTACATGACAGCATACAATAATGCGCCTCGTGACCCTATGTGTTTACAAGACAGCATACAATAATGCGCCATAGAACTCTAGGTCTTAACTTCGCAATCTTATGAGAAGTAAAAATAAAGATAGGCTGCTTAATGGTTACAGATCGCCCATAGATGGCTCTCCACTAACCCATTACATAAATGGAGTGTAAAAATTTGATATGGTGGACATTTAGTTAGGGATACAGGCAACAAACTAAAGTGTAATTCCCAATTGAGAAACATTTTGCGCCATTATCCACTTAACATTAACAATACTTAATTCCTTATCTCTACTACACCATTGTGTTATTGAGTATTAGGAATAATCAATTTTCTAAGCATCCATTTCTCTTCACAGAGTTTTTTCTAAAATAACTCAAATAGATACTCGCCACCTTGGTCAAAACTAAAAGCACGAAAGCTGTTATCTAATTGATCTCAACCTCATATGTGCAATGTCAAAAATCATCTCAAAACTTTTGACTTATGGGCGATCAAATAGTCTTGACACAGATGCATATCGTAATCTATAAATGTGTCGAGATTGAGGCTTAGCTATCATACCCTTACACATATCTAGTCACAAATATCATAGTGGACTAAATGCGCCAAAACAAACGACCTTCTACGGCTTTGCTACTTACTTGTGCGCACCTATTGTGAACAAAGTTACACATTCACATAAGAACAGGATGTCATAAGCGAGTGGGCTCGAGAAGGCCTACTCAAACCATCGTGTCATCATCTCATTAATGTGATTTAAATCTATAAATGTGTCGAGATTGAGGCTTAGCTATCATACCCTTACACATATCTAGTCACAAATATCATAGTGGACTAAATGCGCCAAAACAAACGACCTTCTACGGCTTTGCTACTTACTTGTGCGCACCTATTGTGAACAAAGTTACACATTCACATAAGAACAGGATGTCATAAGCGAGTGGGCTCGAGAAGGCCTACTCAAACCATCGTGTCATCTCATTAATGTGATTTAGTATAATAAGCCACTGGTACATGACCAATGTCATAAACTAATTCCAATCTTCTTAATGTGTGAGTTCTCGAAGACAAGTTTTAAAGGTTTAGGCCCAACTAGGTAATGACTCATGATTAATTCATATTCACTAGATCATAAAAG